TGACGAGTTTCCAATGAACTTTCCCCGGGAGGGGTGGTTCCCCCTCCCCGCCTTTGGCTTGCTCCGCCTTTCTGCCCCCCACCCCCACCTCACGGGTACGGGCCATTCCCGGCCAGGAAACGCCGTGGCGCCGTGTTGGGCCTAACTCGAGTCCTGCTGCCTCCCGGGATTGCCGTGCGCCGCAGCCCGGGCTCCGGCCCCGGCAGCGCCTGGGACAAGGTAAGGGTCCGACAGAAAAGAGAGACCACCCTCACGATTGGGCCCCGGAGGGAGGGAAGGGTCACCTCCTCCGTCTCCCCGCGCTCGCTCTCCTCGGGACGTGGGCCTGGCCTTCCTCAGGCTCTTAGCAGGAGGATGCTGCCCCTTCTCGTCCCCCTCGTTACCCCACACACAGCGTTGCATCCCTCTTTGCCAGGGAGAGAAGCACCCTCTGTAATCTGGTCGACCCCATACCCTTTTCAGGTCTTTCCTGGGTCAGGACGCTTCCCCTCCCCCCACGCCTCTTCACCCCTTTTCCTGGGAACTGCCTACTCCACGTTTACCTTTTACTTGAAGATAGGCCTCTCGCTGTCCTCCTCAAAATACACAAGCATACTTTTTTCCTCTCTCTTACTCCCCCATCCCTCACCCTGGTTCTGGCGGCCTTGTGACAACTCTGATCGCTCTAGAGGCCCCGATCTCCCCTCCATAATCTTCCTGAACGCCTTCCCTCTCCTTCTTAGGTCCCCATTTTCAGATGGCTGCTTCCTTTCCCACACTGGAGACGTTACCTTCACCTCCCCCACCTCACATTCTTGGGCTCCCCGTGGCGTATGCCCCAGTATTTTGGAGATAGCCCCATTGAATATGTAGTGTTGGAGCCTGGAGTTGAGCCAGATTGTGTCGTTTTCCCTTCCTTGGGCGTGGAGAGCGATCTTTTGAGAATGTCTTTAAAGGCAGGAAAATTCTCCCTTTTATGAATTCTCTTTCCCTCTGCGTGCAAAAGCCAGGGCTGTGAAGTGAATGATGGTGGGGAAAATGCCCTGGTTTAAGTAGGTGTATTCGCGTGAGAGGGAAAGTTTAACTGTTGGGAAAGCCCCTTATATGCTAATTTATTCTATGGAGCTCCTTTGCTGATCTCACTTCTTAGGAATAAATGGTCTTTCTTTTCTTTCGGACACTGATGCTGCAGCCAGCCCTGTTCGTCTGGGTCAGGGGTGCATGTATGACCTGCATTTCTGCTTTCTCATGTTACTTGTGCAATGTGTTCACAGTAACTCATTTCTTGCCCAGCTCTGGGTTCCACTGGGCTTTGTCTATACCTAAGTTCATTTCTCCAGTTCTCCCTGCGCTTACAGTACTAAAAGAATCCCTAGATTTTCTACTAGGTTCCTTCAACACTTAAGTTGTTTAAGATGACATATTTGTGACCAAGGTCATATTTATATTTCTTTGTTGGACAGATGTTATTTAAAAAAAAAAAAAAAGAAAGCTGTACTTTTGATTGGGGAGGACCCTGCTGAGTTGAACACCTCAGTGTTCTGAGCTTTTCAGGAGAATGTGTACTCCTTATTTGGGAAAAATTATTTTTGGTGGTTAATTTTATATTATCAGTGTTTTTAGGTCACTGAAAGTAAATTTATAAGTGATAATTTTAGGTGTGCGGAATCTGAGCTAGGAGTAAAGCAGAGAATATTCAGAAAAATCAGAGATTTCTTGGCCTCTTGGAGGACACAGGAATTTTTTTTTTCCTTATTGGATTTCTTCCAGCTTTCTCAGGAGGATCATTAGTTCTCTTTTGTAGCCAAAAATTCTGGCCCGTTATGGGATTAGAGTCTTTAAGGTTTACTCAGACTGCCATTGTATGTAAAGAAATGAATTATATCCTTATGTCTCTAGCTGCAAATTTAAATTTGACTGCAGAGTGCTTGGAAAATTGGCCTTCTCAGAGATTAAAGCTTAATCTTTACTTCTAAATTTCTAGCATCATTAAATGGATATTTGGAATTTGGTAAATGTTGATTTTTTTTAATAAACGACATTAGTTTAAAAGGGTGACCTTAGGATTGTTTCTTTCTTAAAGCATAATTCCAGCTCTTCTGGCTTGGAGCGCTGGTCAAAAAAAAAAAAGAAGTGTGTAAGGAGTGGGGGTGGGGTAGAGAGAAGGTTGTTCCTTTGGGTTGGATCACAGGGGTGAGTATACAAGGCAGCAGCAGCTGCTGGCTCTGGAGCTCTGGTTGCTACGTGAGAAGCTTGAGTAGTGCTGGCTGCTGTCTCCAGGGAAGGACAGCAGTGCAGCGTCCATTAATGCTGTTGGCTGCAGGGAGCTGCACTTAGGCGATGGCTGCTTCAGGACTAAGAAAAAAACCTTGCTTTCCTGGGAATTTTCACTGCTGAGGTGGTTTGCCTTTTCTTGCTAGGGAGAGAGAATTAGCAATTCATAACCTTCTACGCATTTATAGGTATCAGCATCTGGAAACTGAATCATAGTTAAAGACTTTTTTTTTTTAATTTGTTTTCTTGGAAGATTTTGTTTTTTTATCTGACGCCTTGTGCTTGGATAGGTCTGAAAGTTCTGTTAGTTTTAATTTTTGCAACCATTTTAAACCAAAATAGTAAGAATTTAAAAGATTTTCCTGAGAACCAGAATGGGGGAAAATCAGGGTCTTTTTTTTTTTTCCCTGAACTGACATGTTTTCCTCCATCTTTTATCATTTAGTTAATTTTGATGGTTTTGGTATATATATCCTTCCATTAATCAGCCAATATATACTTTATTGAATAAATTTTTTTTTCCTAAGTATTTACTAAATTTGGAATCTTAAGCTCTAAAAAGAGCTACCATTTTTGGAGTAATTTCTAAACATAAATTTTTTTCTTAAAGTCTCTATTAATAATAGACTTTTCCAGATTAGATACTTTCTTTGTAGCTTGACCTATAAAAGTCAGTTAATTATATACACGTTGGATATAATCTTCTGACATCACAAAGATATCTTTGGCTGTGGTCCATCTGAAATGTAGGACAGGCCAAAGGAATTTTCAGAAATGGAATAAGTCTAGTTCACGAGACTAAGACAGTCCCTGAGCCTCTTATGTGGTCTCCCTTCCCCCACAACCTCTGAACATTAGGATGATCTCTGATTAAGCAGAACAGTCTGTTGAGTATGGAAATGCTTGGAGAACTACCACCCAGATATACCACCAGTTACACAGAGTACTTAATATATGCCAAGACTATCGCATCCTATACTTTTTGTCCCTCAGAATTTTTATATGTTCAGTTTTGTGTAAATGTACTTAAATCCCACAAACATCTATAATTCGTAGTATGACTCTGGCATTTATGGCAGGAAACCAGAAAGAATGGAAATGAGTTTTGTCATTCACAAATATGGCTCACATTGTTTTCCCAGTGATAAAAACAGTCCAATGAGACAGAATTTCAGTGGATATTATTTTAGGTGGTACTGATTTTTGTTACTATCATATATATGAGATAGGCCATATCAGATAAGTAGGATCCTGCTCATATTGGCTGTCTGGCATACATGTAATTTAAAATCCAAATGTTTTCTTAATAGTTCAAATTATATTATGTTACCTTACAAAATAATTGCTTTGTTACTTGAATTTCCTGTTGTTTGGAACTCATTGTGATTTCTGAAGGGTCTTTAGAGGGCCTTTTCATAGACACATTTATATAACTAGTATGCTTGATTTTTTTTCTTTTAAGTTTGTTATGGGGTACATGGGCTTTGTCAGAGACAGAAAGTAAGAAAGCACCCTCCAGGGGTGATGACCACGCCTCAGTCCCTTCTGCCCCACTCTCCTCTCAGGATTTTGTGCATGCCTGGTGTGATTTTTCAAGGCACGGGATCTGGGGACTCAAATTGCACAGTCCACCATGAGGGATCCAGTCCCCTTAACCATCATGCCACTTGGCTACTTGAAAATGTTTTTACATCTTTAGTACTGATTTTTGTTCAGGGCATTAAAGTGGGTTGTTGGAAAAGTCACAATGAGTTTTTTGCATAGAAAAACACATTCTGACTTTTCCGATGATCTAATACATATTTTCTGAAATCATTCTTTCTGAAATTCTTCTTTACTTTCTGAGGAGAGTGGCTTATTGTATTTGGATGGCAAAATAACATGCTACAAAAGGCAAAAGCCAGTAACTAAAATAATGATAATTTTGCTTTATCCTCTTTATATTGAAATAAACAATAGGCCATAGTTAGCAATAATCAGTGATTTTGGGTATATCTTATAAGAGAGAAACTGGATCATGAGTAGAATTTAATTTTTTTTTTTTTTACAACATTTGGTTGAACTCTAGTGATTTGTCAGTTCACTTTGAAATAAGAAGACCTAGCAGTGGATTTTATTTATGAAAATTGTGTGTCTTGGTAAAAACAGAAATTTTTCATGATAGGTATATTTTGAGACATAACCAAAACTTTAACTGTGCAAAATACATGTGATAACATATATTCAGTAATTCAACTGGTTGTCATTTGTTATTGGATTTAGAATACCCTTACAGAGGCACTCCTTGGAAAATAAGGGTAATATACCTGTGATAGGCAGGGATTGGTACTAATCCTTACTTCTGCAAATTCCAAAATATGTAGTAAAATGGAATTTTAACCTTTTGTTGATGATTCATTTTTTTTGTTAGGACTTAGGGAAGCTCATGAAAGGAGAGAATATGGTTTCTTTCATGTATCTACATATTTTGTTAAATCAGTTATAGTCCTATGAAAATTGTCCTGATGTATATTCAATTGTAAGTGGGGTAAAAGGTATGCACTGAGTATCTTGGGGGGTATTGTTAGAAATAATCACTTTAGAGAATTCTCCTAATATGACAACATATGTGGAGCCAGTGGGTGGCGTGGTGGTTAAAGGCGCTGGATTCCCACATGGACAACCACAGTTCGAGTCCCAGTTCTGGTGGCTTGCATTCTCCCTTTCCCTTTTTCTCTCTCTCTGGTCAAATTTAAAATAATAATAATAATAATAACAAATGGAAATAAATAAATAAATCTTTAACAAATAATGACAATTTATGTTCAGACACTTAACATTATAAAGAAGGGAACTATGTGATATAATAAAGGAAAAATTAAGATAAATCTACTTTATATGGGCCCTCACAGAGCAGGAAATTTGAGGGAATACCTTACTTTATATAAGGTCACATTTAGTATCTTTGATATGAAAGGAATTTTCAT